ACTGACACGTGCCGATCTTGTGATTCCACGACCAACGAGCAACATCCCGATTGCCAGAGGCAATACTCTTGGGGTTGCTTTGACGAGGCCAGTCATGCTTGTCAGTGCACCGTGTCCGAGCGAGCCTGCGACACAGCGGCGGGCAAATTCTGGGCACATGAGTGCTGGTCCTGCTGCCACGGCTCTGCTTGGGGCTGCTTCGTACCGGGAAATGGCCCAGAGTCCGGCTGCCACTGCAACCTCTACGAGGGTGCGTGCGCCCTTGACTTTCCTGACGCAACTTGGTCCCACCAGTGCTTCGAGTGCGAAGAGGATTCCGTGCAGAAGGATGCGGAGGCGGCTATGGACGATGGGGGAGTCGGGGTTGCCGTGGCCGTGTCCGTTTCCGTCACAGTCGTTGTGATTGCTGCATGCATTGGCATCTACTGCCTCTGGGCCAAGATGAGGAAGCCAAAGCCGGTGAACGAGCCGTACAACAGCCCTCAGTTCAATCAGTCAGACGTGGTGGTGGGCCTCGCTGTGTCGGGTTCGGCTCCATCCCCGGCTCCTGCTGCCACTCCTAAAGAGGTTGCTTGATGCTGCTTGAGAATGCACAGGGCTGGACGGACACGAGATGCAGTCCCAAAGCCAAGTCTGCACCCTTTGTCGGTTTCGCTCCGAAGGAGCAGTTGAAAGCTTAAGCCTGCAACAGGCCGGCGTAGCTTTTCGCTCCCTCCCAAGCGGTCAGATTTTTCTGTGCTGGGAGTGTCAGCGGTTTTGTATCGCTGCATCTGCAGACAAGCATTTAGTTTTTGTGAGGGCCCTTTCCGGCATGCTGCTTCTTTGGCCAGAAGGCAGAGGCATGCAAGATTTGTAATTGCAATAGTTGTATAGTGGAGAGTGGCCTTCATGACTTGTATTGGAAGTTGTAATATGCGTCCGAATTTGAGTGCTTGTTCTCTCCTCGCTGGTAGGCCCGAGGAAGAGGAGGCCGCAAGGCCCGGCATACATCGAGACCCTGCGCGGTGCACAGCGCGTGCTGCGCTCCAGCTGCAGAAAAAAGGATAGAAGGACTTGTGCCTGTGCTGCGCCACGGTTTGTAAATCGGCTGTAAGCTGCCCGTCTGTGTTGCCCATTGGTTATTAATTTTCCCGGCATGGCATAGTCAAGCCCGCAGTGACACCGACCTGATGCGCATGCATTGTCCGAGTCGCGAGAGTACAACTAAAGCCCTCACGCGCTCCGCTCCAGGCCTGGGAGGTTTTGGAGGGCTACCACGCCAAGGGCGTCCTGAAAGCCATCGGCGTGAGCAACTTCAACAAGTCTGCTCTGGACTGGGCCGTGGAGTTCTCGGCACAAATGGGCAAGTTGGCTTGGTTGGCTTGGGTTTGGGTCCGCTAATTGGCGATCTTTGCTTGCGAAGTGTGGCTGTTTATCGCCTGCCGCCAGGAGTCACTGATGAAGACGGCCAAGGTGAAACCTGCTGCCCTGCGCTCAGTTTCTTACCGCTCAAGCAACAGATCATGAAGTGTGGATGTGCATGTTTCGAAGACTGGAACTTGATTTCAGGTGAACCAGATTGAGCTGAACGTCTTGGAGTACGATGCCGAGGCCAAGATTCGACTTCGTTCCTCACGTGTGTTTGACGGATTCTGTCCAATCTGAAGTGGCACATTCGTTTCGGCAGAGCCCAGACGACGAGTCGTAAAGCCGTCTAAAGCCCCGTCTGGCGGGTTGTCCTCGCAGGGTCAAAACGCCGAACGGCAAAGTTGGCTCAAGCGAAAGTCTTTCACGGCAGCACCAGCTGTTGGGAGAATGATCGAGTTGTACTTCTTCACAGACCGGGCAACCACGAAAGACGCGGTACTTTTGCCCGCCCTCTGCCACGATGTGGCTCTTTTCTCCATAACTTTACAGCTCTTGCTCCTGGTGCTGATCCTCTCCTAACTCCGCGCGCAAGGAGGGCTGCAGCAGACGAGGCAGCAGACGAGCAGGCCCAAAGTTCAGGATTGAGCTGCAGCCGCCGTGCAATGCCTGCGGTTCGCAGTGAAGTGGGATCCCGGATCCCGATATGAGAAACATGATTGTTTCTCTCAAAGAGGAGGGTGAGGAAGCCATAGGAAGCCCTAACTCCATTGATCGAAAAGTCAGGTCTTGGTTTGGAAGCTGCGCAAGTACGTTCGCAACATGGTCTCAAGTGCCGACCGATTGAATCTCAAGAGAGATGTGGTCCAGCGTCGGCAACAGCGTGAGCTGAACGAAAGAACTGCCCAGAAGACAGCTGAGCAGGAGATGTAAGACCGGCAAGCTTTGTTGGAGCTCTTCGGTCGAGTGGACCAAACAGCGGCTGCTGCTCAGGCACCATTGATACAAGAGCGAGCCCCTGTGGTGGAACCTTCGGAGAAGCCAGCGGCTTCTACTGGTAGACGGTTTGCCCTTAAGGCGGTGGAGCCCACTACATCGACTGGCTGGAGCTCGACTGAGTGGCAATGCAGAGCCTGATGAAGGCCGGCCGGCAAGTGGGCCAAGGCAGCCAAGAAGGCAGAGAAAGCAGAGAGAGACCCCGTCGAAGCGTTGACGCTGGCAAAGACACAGACTAAAGAAGGAGCTGGTGACCTGATCGACTCACCGGGCTCTCCCCCGGGCTGCGTCTTGTTTTCTGTCCTCTTCCCTGTCTGGTGCCACTTGTGAAAGAAGAAGAAGACGCGCCGGATCCATTCCTGAAGATGCTCGTTGCGACTTCACAAAAGAAGCCAACAGAACCCCAGATGTCGCCAGAAGATGCTGCTGCCTTGGCTTCCATGATGGCAGAAGGGCCCCTAGAAGCAGCTTGACCGAAGCATGGCAACAAGATCAACCCATGGATGCAGAAGTGCCGGAGGCCTTTTGGCAAAGGTCCATTGAAACTTCCCAGATGAAACCCGTCGAAACTCAAATGTCCCCCGAGGATGTTGCAGCGATGGCATCGATGATGACGGAGCTGCCTCCAAGCAGCGTCAATCCGAGCAATCTGGCTGGAGAGTCACCGGATGCCTTTATGACAATGCTCGTGGAGACCTCGCGGGGAAGAAGCTGGCGGACGCGCAGATGTCACCAGAGGATGCTGCAGCAGTGGCAGCCATGATGTCAGCAGAACAGCCCTTGAAAGCAGAGGCACCGGATGTCAAACTAACCCTCAATGAGACTTGGGAGAAGAAGCCGATTGATGCTCAATTGTCACAAGAGGATGCTGCCGCCCTGGCCTGTTTTGAGGAGCCTGCCAGCAACTCTACCGAAACTCCGCAGGCAGAACTGCCCTGGGCAGAAGAGCCCGCGTGCGACACAAATGGTTGGGACAGTGAGGACTTCTGGGCACTTTATCGATCCCACCCTGCCACCGGAAGAGGCAGCATCCCAGCTCTTCACAGCAATGGAAATCTCGCAAGACCTTGCATTCGTTACCAGCCCCCTCACATCCCCTCACCCCTGCTCTTGTCGTCGCGTGCACGAATAGCACGAAGAGCGAGGATCCTTTCAAGGCCTTTTGGGACAGTTTGGATGACAATATGTCGGCAGAGCTGGTGGCAGCTAAGCTCTTGAACACGGCCCAGTTCATAAAGGACTACTGAGCGATGCAAGTAGTGTAAGTGCCAAAGTGCACTGAACAACCCAGGTCTAGCACTGTCAAGGTCGGGCAGAGAACGGCAGGTGATCAGGGCTTCAATCCTTAATGGTTTAGAATGATGTTTAAAGCTTGGTTTGGATGGAGAAGTTCTGCCGCTTGACTGCTGAGAATGCTTGGTTGGCACTTTAGTTATCAGCTCAAGTTATTTGTGCAAGTGTAGGCTATGTCGTGTTGGATGGCTTGGGCGCTTCACATGTCAAGGCAGGCAGAGATTACATGGAGACATCGCCATGTTCGAAAATCCAATAATCTGAGTTGCAGCCGTGTGCGTGGAGCCTCGCCGTCCTCCTGACGTCTGACGTTCGAAGCCTTGCCCTAGAGATGGACAGCCGCAATCGGACACAGTCTGCTGAGACCTGCAGCCAAAAAAGCCCGACGCAGCACGAACACCTCTTGCACTCCCAGCTTAGGCAGTCCATGGCAGTCCGACAGCAAACGGAGGCATTGGCGTACGCTGAGTCCTTGAACATTACTGTGGAAGCCTACTCTCCCGTCGGTCGCAGTGGCCATTCTGGAGACATCAGCCACTCGCAGGAAAGCATGTAAGTGCTTCACGTGTTCGCCAAAGTCGGTTTGGCTAGCAATTTTTCGGTACGCTCAGCTGCTGAAACCTGTCATTGGCCACGGCTCAGGTGGCAACAAGGTCATCCAGGGTGTTGCTGCCAACCACAACATCAGCACCTATCAGGACACTCCGATAAATTAGAGAATCATGAGCATACCTGAGCCTTTTGATGCCCAAAGGTTGCCTTGAAGTGGATCGTTCAGCATGGGCGGCTCTTGACCTTTCAGTCGAGCTCAAGTGCACACCAGGCCTGAGCCTTCTTGTGTCTGTGAGCTTAAATGTACGATATTTTGACTATTATGTACTAATATACGATAATATACGTTAATATAATATACTACAATTTACTCTCTGAAGGACGGTAGGCAAAAAGGAGAGCCGCCTTCCGCCATTGCGTAAGGGCATCTTCGGGAGGAAACAGTGGAGTGCTCCAAACCACGGCAAGCAACAAGCTTTCAAGCTTTGCCAGAAACATGCGCGTTCGCTGGCGCCCCTGCGATGCGTCCATTGGGCATGAAGGCTCAGCCCACATAAATGCCCCGCCAGAGAACACGAGAACCACAAGACGACAGTCATCGCCGAGCGATGTGCTTATTACGCCAATTGGCCTGGGTTGAAGGCTGAGGATGAAACCACACGGATCGCGGAGTCTGGCAAGTGCAGTGAAGCAGCTGCACGTACAAGATCATGGCAAGAATGACGTTTGGGAGAAAATAGCATGCTGCGTCTGCCTCGGTCATAGGACGCCCCTGACCCCTCACCTCAACCTCTCATCGTTTGTCACGCTCGCAAGTCGAGACACATACGGGGCGATCGTTCGCTTGCATACTCGCTATACGGGACCAATGCAACGAGGACAGCACGCCAAACCTGACAGCCCACGCAATGTGCGGATCAATTGGGGCTTTGCCGGGGCTTCCGTTTTGCAGCTACTTCTGGCCGAGTTCGATACTCGTGGTTTCGGCTGCCTTTCTGTTGTAGCGAAGCGTACCCTTTGAACTCAGAGTCCAGGCAGCCGATGCTGCGATCTTCGATTTCCAGCTGACCGAGGCCGAAATGAAGGCCCCACATCGGTGCAGCGTGGGGTCATCGATACATCGATAAGGTTACGGTCGCTCCGAGTCACACTTCCGGGACCCTTCAAACCTCGTCTAGCTCCTCTCCTCCGTTCTCTGTAGCCTGCTGATCCCCGATTCTCAATGACAAGGCCCTGGATGGCCTGCATGGGGCGCCGATCTATGTGTGAGAGCAATGGGAACGTGCGACATAGCTGACATTCGGATGACATGGAGCTTGACCTCGTCATCTCGTTTCACTTGGCTAGCTCTCTCAGTCTTAGCGAGCACGTCGAGAGCATATCGCCGTGTTGCCGTTTGGGCGACGCTGGCCCTGCAAATTCAAAACGACGTTTGGTGTCCAGGGCAAGGAAAGGTCCTCAAAGCTTGCTAAGGCCTAAGGCTCTCGTAGTTATGCATCGGCCATTCGAGAGAGGTGCTGCCTTGTTTTGGCTACCAAGGCGCCTCCGGAAGATTCTTTTCCCTTCAAGGGCAGTCCAGGTGAGAATGCCATGCGTGACTCAGATGCAGAGATGCGGAGACGTGGGTGTTGGTCTGCGCCCTTCGGTTTTGTCAGCAGCGCGGTTGCTTGAGAAGCCAAGGTGGCGCTTGAGCCCCGGCGAAGCCTCACATAGCAGAAATCTTGCTGTACGACGCTGTCATCCTGTGCTCCTTGCCGGGCACCTTCCCAGGTGCGGAAACTCAGCATGTGCAACATGCTGCAATCGATTGCATCTCTTTCGCCGCAGCCTCAGCGGCATTCCGTTCTCCTGGCATCCCGGCTGCCCACAGACTTGCGGGCATTGTGATTGTCAAGCGTTCGGAGTCCGCTATACAGCAAGACAAGCTCCATGCTGGAAATGGCAGGTTTCACTTCCAGTTCTTGGTTCAAGCCTATCCTCATCTTGAAGTGCTGCAGTGGGCCAAGTCTCTGCTGTCAGCTTCGCGGTCCATGGATGCGCCGTTCTCGGAACTCAGAAAAGAGCCGTGGACGGCAACCCCAGGCCAAAGCTGCGCACCTACAATGTCGGCCAGCATCTTGGGCAATTGCGACGTTAGCAACAGCATGTGGTGTAGTAAGCTCTACCAGGTTTAAGAATAAAGTTGGATCAGGGCTTGAGGATGTTTTGCCTCAGGAGTGGCTCTGTTCGCCGGATTTCTGTCTCTTGGATTCGGCCGGCGCCCCGTTACTCGCAGTATCATCGCGACGTTGGCACGTCTCCACCAGATCCCAGGGGTCGCAGACTTTGTCCTGTACATATGGGCTTGGAGCTTATGTTTGATTTTTAGTCTTGCTTCGCTGCTTCTCCTCCTAATGCTCTTGTAATGAAGCTCCCAGGTGGACGATGCTTTCGTCCGAAGGCGCATGAGCTTTTGTTGTTCTCAGCATTCGTCGTTTCCTGCATCTCGATCCCAAAGCTGATGTCAGCAACAAGAAGCTTGTGACCCTGCACTACGTCGTGGAGATCCTGGCACGGCTTCCAACCGTTTTCCTATACAGCATCTACTTGAGGCTCAGAGCGGAAACATACGCTTTCTTGATCTTTTTCACTCTCTCGTGGCGAGAGAGTTTTTTTGGTACATACGTGACTGATGTGTGTCAGTGTCGAGTACCTTTGAAGGCAGAGTGGACAGTGACATGCCTCTCTGGGACTGATCGTGCTTCCACACAGTTGCGACAGGCCAAGATATGGCGAGAGGCCCTTCATTTCCTTGTTTGTGGTGGACATTGCTCTGACGCCGCTTCCTCAGCTATGCCATGTACACAGGTTCCCGGAGCCTACAGTAGCACTTGCTTGTCAGGTGTGCCCTTCTTCAGTGGGAGGCCCTGTGTTGTTTGTGTGGCGTGCACCAGGAAGCCGCTCGCAGTTTAGCCTGTCGGCGACCGTCTGCTGAGGTACACGAAGCTGTCCTCCAGGCGAGTATCCTGGAGCGGCGACACACCAGTCTGGAGCTTACGCTCCCAGGCTAAGAGCGGAGAGTGAGATGGCAGAGCTCCGAAAGACCGTAGATTAGCGCCGTCACCAGACACTGGCCGTTGACAAAACCCATGTTTTGCCAGGGCACTTGGATCAGTGTTCAGCACCTAGTGTGGACCTCGGGACTCTGAAGTCTTGTTTCAGTCTGCATGCAGTTGATTGGAATCTGGTTCGGCTGCTCCTCAACCGGCAATGCCGCACAACTTCCAAACACCTTTTGATTCTTGTTACGATTACAGTTACACAGACAACGGATCGCGATGACCATGTGGGTCGGTCAGCACTCTGTGGAGTGGGCTAGCCTTGTTCACAGCAGATGGGTGAAATAAGAAGCAATGCCGGCTCCTTTGCTTTTATTCCTTCATTGTCTGTAGCCCTAGCTTGGATTCTCTACTTACCCTACATGGTTCCTTTTCATGATCATCTTTGGAGTACCTGGTTGGATACGGAGCATGGGCCCATGGGCAGCAGAATCGTCCCTAGTCAGACGCTTTTTCGATTTTGTCTTCTTGTTTGAGGCTGCTTGTATGCGATGCTTGCAACCATATCGGATGCCATGAACCATGCAACTTTGGAGAGATCGTGTCTGCGTAGCCTGTCATGCCCAGCATATGGACTCAACAAGTTATTGATTTTGCTGGTCTGTAAGGCATGGGCCTCCTGAGCATTTCAGCAGCTTCCAGCTTCAAGGTCAAGGAGTCTCTGAACAGGTTCTGCCTGCCCTCTTCTACCTTCTGGGGCTGAGGCCAACTTAGCTTTTTCGCTCGTCGCTGCAGGCTGAGTTTGGCTTTCATCAGTTGCAACATGTGTGATGAGTTGTGTTGTTTTGCACATCGCGCAGTAGGGCACCGGAACGAGAAATTTTGAGGATTCTCTTCACGTGCGCAGGGTGGCTACAGACGCTGAGGTGTCTGTTCCCATGTTCATGGTGAACTTCGTGCTTTTCGACCCATGTGCGCGGCCTGGGGGCATCTTTTCAAGCGCGTCTGCTTTGGCATCTCTTGGTGACAGGCCTATAAGTTACAGGGAGCAACATAGTTGTCGTAATTATGTGCAACCCAAAAAGAATCATGACAATGCGGAGTCTTGGGAAGCTGCCATGCGGGGAGCAACAATAGCAATGATGTGTGTTTGTGAGTATATGATGAAATTGTTCGTTGGCTTGGAACTGTCTTGCATGAATGTATCTGTATATATGATATATATATATATGTATATATATGTATTGCAGCGGTATGCATGTATGTATACGTATATAATTTTATATATGTAGACAAAGATATAGAGACAGCTTAATGTATGCTTAATGTTACTTGTGCGCACACACCACAACATGCTCTGCATGTGTGTATGCCCAACTACCGCAAGCTGTAAGCAAGACTACAACTTGTACATATGTATCTACATAGAGATGTATGTATGTGTATATCTGAATGTATATATATCTACACGTATATTTGTATATACACCCATATCTACATCTTTATTTGCATCATTTTGCATCTATGCTTATATGTCCATGCCTATGTATATGTATATGTATATGCAAAGGTGTATGCGCATATGTGTATATATATATATATGTACAAATGTATGGATGTAGGTATATGTATATATATATATACATAGTCGAGTGCGGGTGTTAAGCAATTCCCCCTCTATATATACATATATATGTGTATGTAGAGTTAGAACTCACTTATATACACGGTCGGTATTCTTTGCATCTCTTTAAGTTTTGCCAGGCTTCCCCTTCTACCACGTCAACCAGGTCTCAGCTTCGCGTGCTCTAGTGCTGAGCTCCGGATCTCGGGGTGTGTAGATTGCAAAAGCTGCGAAGCTTGTCTGTGGCAATAGGCTTTGGGATGACTGGAGAGAGACAGAAGGGCCCAGCTGTGGCTGCAGTCACGATTGCTGACGAGCAACAGGGAATTCAATTTTCGTGAACCGGTGTGCCGCAACATATCCCAAATCGGCGTGGATTCTGTCACCGCTGTGTTCTGCTGCCACGCAGGTCTACTACTACATCAAGTACCTGGAAGCTTTGTTCATGTGGACATGCATTCTGGAGGCTCGTTGCACTCGGAATCTTCACAGGCCTTACTCCGCACCTTCATGAGAACATTGGTTCTCATCATGTGTGAACTGGCTGACTGATCATACATCTGCGTTCGTGAGCTAGAATCTGTGCAGGCGAAGGCAGGGAACGATTTTTTCTTCCCGAGAGCCTGGGGCCAAGACGACTGCATGCATTGAGACATCGGAATTCCTGCTCTCTTGAGTTACGAAGAGATGGCGGATGGCGCTTTTGGAAGCAGTCAATGGAACAGATGGATTGGCACCTTGGCAGTATTGGTGCCTGCCATCACTGCGGCCGCTGTTGCTGCTGTTACTACCACCACCACCACCACCACCACCACCACCACTAGGACTACTACTGCTACTGCTACTGCTGCGGCTGCTCCTGCTCCTCCTCCTGCTGCTGCTGCTGCTACTGCTGTTGATGCTGCGGCTGCTGCTGCTGCTCGTGGTACATCTACTGCTCCTACTCCTACTGGGTTTGCTGCCGCTGTCGCGATGACAACGACGAAGACTCCAAGCACGGCGACGGCGACTGGTACTACTGGCGCCAACCTGTATTAGTACAACTATGCTTTAGTACTGCTGTTGGGTCCTGATGGGCATGCAGGAGAGACAGCTGGCTTCACTGGTACAACGACATCTTGCACTGGAGCCAGCACCCAAGCCGGTACAGCACAACAGGATGCTTGCTGAATTATGCCTGGCTGAGGCATCTTGTTCATTGTGCTGAATGCCAGCGGCACGGATCGGCATTGTCATAGGACATGTTGTCGGGGAGATGTACAAGTTTTTCGAAGCCCAGTGGACAGAGGCTTGGATTGTCCACTACTGGCTACCCGAGCGACGGCATAAGCTGGACCGCCGACAGCACTTGTTGCAATCACGACCACCACGGGCTCTTCATCAGAGCTGCTGTGTTTCAAACAACATTTCAGTGGCTGGAGCAGGACAGACGCTGCCTCACACCTGCACCAGCCTCGTCCTCAAAGGTCAGCTTTTCGCGGGTCTCCAGCATGAGTGCCCTACTTTGTGTTTGTGGATAACAGCGCACGGCAGCCTCTTTGCAAGATCACCGGCTTGAACTCCTGAGGGGAGCAGTCGGTAAGTCGCTTGAAATGCTTCAGCGCCTTGTGTTGTCATGTGTTGTCCAAGATGAGCAACTAGGCCTTGACGGAGCAGCGAGCACGGATGAGTGCCGTGGAGGCGGCTGCTTTTTGCCCTATGGAAGGCACCTTTGACTAAATCCTCGAAACTGACCTTCGAAGCCTCTGAAAGAGGAGGAGGACATGGACCTGGAGGCCCAGATCCCTCTGGCCGGGTTCTCATGCAAGGCATAAACCTGACTGCAAGGTATGTCTGTCTCCGAGTGTATATTTCTTGGTCTGTGTCTCTCTGCCTGTGTCTGTTTACGTCCGTGTTCCTGCCTGCCGGTGTCTGTCTCCGTGTCAGTCCCTGCTTGTCTGCGTGTTGCATGTCTATACGAGGGCCTGTGTAGGTGTGTATGTCCTTGTGCACCTGTGTACACCTGTGTACATGTATATGCCTATGTGTCCGTTTGGGGCTTGCAGGCGACTTTCCAGCGGAGTTGAGGGCTGATCTTGGGTTAGATGCGGGTTCCCCTCACGTACTGAAGAAGCAAGAAACCTCCCATAAGAATCTAACTTGACAGGATCTCCAGCTTAGAGCAAAGACCGAGGTGGCCATTAGTGGCAGCTCTGAGCCCGCTCCGCCATCTCGAGGTGCGACTTAGGGTTTCTTTGCCAGAAGCTTTGAGAAAGGGTTTAGGGTTTAGGGTTTAGGGTGTAGTGTAGATGGGAGAGATTAGGGGGTCGTGTTCTACGTGGTCTTGTCCTGCCTGGCATGGGGACTCAACAGGTTGTCTCTTTTGGTGGTCTGCCAATCGACAATGAGCAGTATGCAGCCGCCGGTCTAAAACGTCCATGGAGCTAGGGACTTGCAGGCCACAAGTAAGTATGGCCGTGAAACAAGCTGCTACGGAAAGTATCATCGGCGAATGTCGGCGCTGTGGCGAGCAAGGGCAGCCAAGTGTAGCAGGAGTCTTTCCTTTGAAGATGCTTAGCATCGCTTGAGGCAGCCATTATCCCATGCAGCACATCTCTGGCTTGGAGAACATCATCGAGGATCTTCGCCAGATAAGCAAGGCAAGAGAGCTTGAGCAGACTGATCACACAGTGCTCTTGTATGACCGAAGTACCAGTTCTGGCCCAGTGCTCGTTGCAAAGCTGTTCTCCTGCGCAGGCATCCTGTCCCGCTCAAAGGGGCCCTCTGACTTCGATGGTGGTGAAGCAACTCTGGCTCCAGGCCACCAGCCGTAGGTATGATAGGGCTAGGGCGGCTAGGATTGACGAGAAAGGAGAGATGAGATGGCTCCTTGTTACCTTGATTTACCTTGTGCTTCGATGGGCTTTGTACTGTCAGGGCTTGCCGTGGCGTGGCACCTATGATGATGGCCCATGCCCCGGCTCTTTTTTAAGTGTCTGCGAGAACGACGTCGGTTGCCCCTATTCTGCCTGAGAAAGATACGTTGCAGTGTGCATCGATGTGATCTCGACTTCACAGCTACACCTCACTTGTCATGGTTCATTCTTTGTCTTTGGCGATCTTCAGGCCATGGCGGCCAAATCACGATCCATGTCAAAGCAGACACCGCCTTGCTGCAGTATCGGCAGAGACTGCCTGGCACGTTTTGCAGTGCAGCTTGGAATCCCTCCTTGATGGATTCAAAGACCTCTCCTCAGAATCGGATCTCTTTAGCCGATCCCCTTATAGCAAAGCAGGTGTTCCCACTGGCCCTTCGTGTCAACAGACTTTGTTGTGAACATGTTGTTGCAGCCGCAGATATTCTTTATCCGATTGTTATTCTGGCTCTGAGTTTGCACTCGTAAGAATGCCATGCTGGGTGCCGCGCTTTGCGGAGAATTTGAGGCAGGCTGCTCTGATGCTTCATTAGCCTCGCAAGAGATTTGGGATCTTGGCAATTCCTTCTCTGTCAGCGTGTCTGGACTTGTACTTCATTTTCGGTGTTGGCCTGATGATGTGAAACTCGTTTCATGTGTCTGCACAGGTTCGTGTAGATTTAGCCTGCTCTCAGCAGAGAGGGTGGAAACGATGGGAATCTAACCTCGCAGCATCTCGCAGCTGCAAATACAGTGATCAGTAAATGGCAACATGTACGACCATTGACTGTTGTGTAGACTCCATATTTTGTACCCGGCTCGCTGCGAAAAAGCCCACCCCGAAAGGCATGCGATGACATCGGGATGCTCGGCTGCTGGCATGCATTGAAACATTGGCACAGGTTTGTTGTTTCGTGCCCCACGATTCCGGTTGCTTCGAGAATCCATTGCGAGTATGCAAGCATGCCAAGGCTACCTCTCAAAACATGCTCGAATTCGTACTTTGCGCTTTCACTCAAGCGCGGATGGGCAGACTATTGCTGCTTGGCCAGGGCCAGCCAGACATCCCAACACCACGGGATCTATGGCGGCCTACACCTCGCGCATAGCAGCATTGGCAAGATTCCCAGGTCAGTGGCAAGCTGCCCTCGCGGTGCTTTGCGGTATGCCCCAGAGTGCCTTGCAGCCAAACGTCTTTAGCTTCACAGCTGCCATCTCTGCCATGGCCAAGTGCACACGATGGCAAGTTGCGGAAGCACTCTTTGAATTAATGCAGGACAGCCTGGTGTCGAGTAATGTAGTGAGCTTCAATGCCACTTTACATGCCTATGCGAGAGCTGGCAAGTGGGACTTGGCACAGAGGGTCCTTGAGTCCATGCCCTACGTCAGAGTATGCCCAGATGCTATAAGCATAAGTACCGCCATCAGCGCTTGCAAACGAGCCGGGAACTGGAAAGCAGCCGTAGGCTTTCTGGCAGCTTCCACTGCGCTCCGGGCACCTGTCACCACCGTGACCTGCAACGCCCTCCTGACTGTGTGCGAATCGGCGTCCCAGTGGCAGACAGCCATGGTGCTGGTCAGGAATATTGGCAAGGAGTCGCTGCAGACGGACGAGATCACCCACAACACTGCTATCAGCGCTTGTGGCCAAGGTGGCCAGTGGCCTCAATCTGTTGTTCTGTTCGCAGCTGCCGAGGCCCTCAAACAGACCAGCGCCTCTCTGAGCAGGAGTCGTATGGCATTTACTGGTAGTAGCGGTGCTAGGCAGAGTAGTCAAGGCGAGGTGCTAAACCTAGGACAGGCTTGATGCAGCCCAGAAACCCTCCCACTTGCCGTGGCGAGCCATCTTTGTTGTAGCATTGAACATCGTCCACGGTATTTGTAGCGTTATGCAGCGACATTACGCGGCCATCCTTGTAACGCAATACACCGATACCGAAGAAATCAGGTGCCGCGACCTACAATGCCTGCATGCATGCACTGCAGCAGAACTCGCAATGGCATCGAGCATTGACCCTGTTTGGAAGGACGGTCTTTTCAGCCAGCTTCATCAGAAAGAGCAGTGGTTTAACTTGACTACCATCTGTCTGCAGGATGGACGGAGCTCGGATAAGACCTGATGCTGCTAGCTTTGCCACCAGCATCAGCAGCTGCCATCATTCAGCTGAGACGCCAAGCTGATCTCTTAGCCATAAACCCCTAACTAAATTAAACCCTAAAGCAAGGTCTTGGGTTGAGCGCTTAGGCGCCGGACGTGCTAGATGACTGCTCTTTTTCTTCTTGCCCCCACCGCCTCTACCATTCCAGCAGATGTGAGGTGGCAGCTCGCCCTGCATCTTCTGAACGAGCACCTTGGTTCAGGTTTAGGGTTTTGGGCTTAGGGTTTAGGTCTCAAGACGTGCTTGTGAAGCTAGACTCGTGACTCTCACGCGCTCTCAGGCGCTAGACTCAGCATGCCCGACCAACGCTGCAGAGAGTTGAATTGCAACGAGCATTGGCATAGTTCCCAATACACGTACACCAGGCATACATTCGTGTTTTTTTTTCTCGTTCAGCTGCCTGCCACTGAGGATGTCGTCGGCCAGCGTGGCTCGCAACTCGGTGGTTTGCAATGCAGCCCTGACGACCTGCGAGAAGGCCAACCATGAGTTCTTTGTTGCTTAGGGTTTAGGTCTAGGGGATGGGGGAAGACTCAAGGGTAACTTTGGAACCCCCCAGCCCCGCCGGCTCACACAGAGGCCCGAAGCCTGGATGCTCCTAGACTCCAAGAAGCAAGCCCATCTCGGATTTCCGGTGCAGTCTGCATCAGTCTGCTTGGCATGCAACCTGCTGCTTGTATGTAGGATCGACGTCTCGTATGCGGGAGCCAAAGAGTCTGCTTGGCCGGCAGGGGTGCCCAACCAAGGTGAATTGCACACCGCTTCTCAAGGAAAATCAATGAAAGAGACAAACGGCAATCTCCACACCAGGGCAAGCCGGGGGGTTTGCTCCCATAACATGTTTCCTCTGGCCCACGATTTCGTTCGTGCAATCACGACTTGCATGCATGACCGTGAAGAACTTCTCAGTAGGAGTGATGCCCTTCACCAGTGCTACATAATATCATACATAGGCATTCCTTGATGGGCATCTGGTGGCGTAACCGTAGCTGCCCGTGCTATTCTGTTAAACGCATTGAGCCCGGTGGCAGTAACTTCCCGACATTTCCGGTCTTCGACGGCTATGCCGAACATAGCTATAATAGCTATATGCATGACCTGTATATATGCACAGTCTGCAGGTGCTCGACTGCTAGACAGCAAATGCAGTGGAATGTACAGTCTGCAGGTGCTCGACTGCTAGACAGCAA